GGGCGAAGTGCTTGGAGGTGATCGAGGACTACGAGCCGGTCTTGGTCCTCGGGTGCCCGATGTGCGCGCCGTTCTCCAACCTCCAGCACGTGGGCCTGGTCGCGCAGCAGCGCGTCGATGCGAGATCGTCTACGAGCGCCTGAGCTTCGTGTGCGACATCTACGGAATCCAGGTGGCCCGTGGTGGCATCTTCCTGCGCGAGCATCCATGGGCGGCTGTGTCGTGGAACGTGGGCGTCATCGTGGAGTTGCTGCAGACGCAGGGTGTCGAGGTGCGTCGCGGCGACCAGTGCGTGTTCGTGCTCGTCGTCCCGGGCGCGAGCGGGGGTCGGCTTGCGAAGAGGCCGATTGGATGGATGAGCAGCTGCCTCGAGATTCTCGACGGGGCGTGCAAGGTCTGCCCGAACGAATCGGGGGTCGGCGCGCCTCGCCAGCGCAGCGCCTTCGTCGGCTGGGACATGCGTGCGGCCCAGCGCTACGCTCCGCAGCCCCTGAAGGGTATCCCGCGCGGCCTCGAGAGGTGTATCCAGCGGCGGCCCGACCTGGCGATCGGCGCGCTGGGCAGCGGCCCGCGCGTGGGCGACGAGGGGCTGGGTCTGTGGGACTTCGCGGGCCAGTGGCGGGACTCGGTGAAGAGCGAGTTCTACGACGACCCCATTAGCCTGCCGATAGACCCGGACCTGGTTCGAGAAGGACGCTGCGTGGAGATGGACTTCATGGCCAAGCTCGGCGACCGCGGCGTCTGGGGGCACAGCGCCGTCGAGGAGTGCGCGCGCGGCGCTGGGCGAAGCCTCTGGGCGTTAGCTGGGTGGGCGCCGACAAGGGCGACCAGGGCCACCCCGACCGCAGGAGCAGGCTCGTGGTGCAGGACGCGCGGGCTCAGAGCACCGTCGCGCCGGGCGTCGTCGGCGCCGTCTTCGCGGCCGCGCCGCCGCTGGATTGCTTGCGGCTCGTGTGCTCGGCGGTCATGTCGAGTGATCCGGCCGAGGGCCAGTGCCTCCGCTCCCTGGACATCTCGCGCGCTCGCCCTCGCTGCGAGATCAAGCGGATGGCGTGCATCCGCCTTCCTGAACAAGACCTTCGCAGCGTCGTGGACGGCGTCTGCGGCGATCTCTCGATGGCCCTCTGCGGCGCGCGCGACGCCGGCCAGAACTTCGAGCTGGCGACCGCGGAGGTGCTGCAGCGCGGCGGCTACCAGCAGAGCGCCTTCAGCCCGTGCGTCTACCTGCGTGCGGAGAAGAGCTTGTGCCTTTTCCACCGTGGCGACGATGTCGCCATCGAGGGAGGCCGCGGGGAGTCCGCGCGGGTGACGGACCAGCTCGGCGCGAAGTTCATCCCGAAGGACATTTGCGTGCTCGGCCCCGAGCCGCAGGGCCTCGAGATCGCGTGCTTGAGCCGCGTGATCCGGTGGCGCGATCGGTGGGCCGCGGGGGGCGGGGCTATCGAGTGCGAGGCGGGCCCGCGGCATGTCCGGATCCTCCTGTCCCATCTCAGGCGCGGCGGCAAGAGCGCGAAGCCGCTCGCCCCCCCCTGCGCTGATGTGGCGGTCGCGCCGAAGGGGGGGCGCGAGCCGGATGAGAAGGAGGCCTCGGGGTTCTGCTTGCCGTGCATGCGCCTCGGCTACCTCGCGCTGGACCGATCGGAGGTGCGGCGCGTGGTCAAGGGGTGCGCGGGGGGCATGGCGAAGCCCGCGGTGCGGTCCGTGCAGATGCTCAAGCGGCGCGCCCGCTTCCTCAATGGGGCACTTCGAGCAGTCTGGCGCTAAGGGCGGCAGCGCAAGCCCAAGCGCGTGGGCGTCTACAGCGGCGCCGATTGGGCCGGCTGCCCGATCGCGAGAAGGGGCGCGTCAGCGGTGGTCGTCAAGTGCGGTCTGCGAACCATCGTCGCGGCATCGACGACCCAGATCTCGATCTCCACGAGCAGCGGTGAGGCGAAATCCTACGGGCTCGCGCGCGCGGCGCCGCGCGCGATCGGCATGCAGGTGCTCGCCGCCAGCTTCGGGGTCGTGGTGGGCGTCCGCCTGTGGGCGGACTCTTCCGCGGCCATCGGCATCGCTCAGCGCCGTGGCCGTGGCGAGGTGCGGCGCTTGGGGGGCGCCTGCGCTCTGGGTGCAAGAAGGCGCTCCGCGACGGCCGCTTCGTTCTCTCGGAGGTGCCAAGCAAGCTCAACCCGGCGGGCCTGGGCACCAAGCATTTAGATGCGGCGACGATGATGCCGAATGATGATCCTCGAGAGGATGCGCGTCGCGCTGACGGACGAGCCCCTGATGGTGGGCATTGCATGCTTGAGTCTGGCGCATTTTACGAGGGGGCTCTCACAGGTGGCGCGCCCGCCCATGCCGAGTTTCGAGATTGAGCATGGCTGCGGCGCCTGGTTTGCGCGCGCGGATCATTTTTTCTTTTTCTGTTGTTCGGCGGCCGCTTCCTGAAAGGAGCGGCGCGCTTGAGGGGCCTGGCGAAGACCTGCCCCTCAGACTCGAGTCGTATATTTGTTTTCAGATGTGGTGCGCTACTGCCGTTGTGGGTGCAAACGCTTCGGAGGTTCCGCGGTCGCAGGGGAAAAAAGCGCTCTTCAATTCTTGAACGCGGCCGACGCCCATAGTTTATCCTGGCGCGCGTGAGAATGCGCTCCATCTCCAGAGCTGGCTTTCGCTCCTGCCGAAAGGCGGCGAACGCCTTAGCAGGTGTGACCCCCCCGTTGGAAAACTGGCTCCCCCTAAACTCTATCAACAGGGTTTCTTAGCTCGAGATTCGCGAAGGCCAGACCGCTTACGTCAACAAAGAAGGCCATCCGTGTAAACAACTGTCGTATCAACTCCAGGCATTTTTCCTACGGCAATGCAGGCCTGAGTTTCGAGTGTGCGCAGGCCCGAGTTTCGAGGCGGCCCCGTTGTCGAGGGTGCGAGGGGCTGGCTTTTCGCCCTGGACCAGACGGCGGCCGAGGCTTTGAGGAAGGCCGGCGGAGGCCGAAGGAGGGTGGCCCCGCCAGCGGAAGAATGCAGATGCTCGGCGGTCGGGGTCGTCAAAGCAGGGTGCAGTGCTTACGGGGGTTAGCCAAGTCCCCTCCGACCCCCTCTGGCTGACCCCGGGTTCGGGGGCCGTGATGTGGAGCTGGGCCCCCCTGCCCGCACTCTTGCGACCTGGGTTTGGGAACTACTGCGTGGCCTGCCCAGGTTCGGGGTTGGCCTGGGTCAGCGCTCGCCTGGTTCAGCGCGTCTCCAAGGCGGAAGGAGATGCAGGCCCCCTGGGGACAGGTCAGCACCAGGGTCCTCCTGATTCCTGAGGCTGGCCTCGAAGTCGCCTCCCCCCGCCCGACTTGTCTCGCAGCGCGCTCTGTCGAGGCGGCCGCGATTCTTGAATGGCCAGCGCACTTCGGCGCTTCCTCCTAGAGGTGGCAGCTGCTTTGGGGGTTCGTTGCGCTGATCTCGGCCCGTGGCGACGAGGGCCTCTCACTCGTGGGAGGGCCCAGCGGAGGCAAGAGCGGCGGAAAATCCCGCAAGGACTGTCCTGGAGTCGGCCACGGCCGACCCATCGGGGTGGCCTCGGGCGCCCAGCCGTGGCGGTGAGGGCGTTTCCTCGAAATGCGAAGGCGTTTCCTCGAAATGCCCTTCTGGCACACCAGGTATTTCGAGAAACTCCCAGCGTGTGCCGACGGGGGGGCAGGGGGGGCTTCGTCTCCCCACAGGGCGGCCAGGAGAGGCCGGAAACCCAGATGTCGGGCGGCCGGGCTCTGGTCGAAACGCGGGCCTCCCGATGCACACAATGCATTTGTCCGGGTCGCTTGTCCTCCTCCCCTCCTTCCTCTTCTCGCCTCGGTCGTCACTGAAACTTTGCCGCTCCCTCCTCGGTGCATGTGGTGCCGGACTTTGAGTGTTGCGGTTCGCTTCAGTTGACGTTCCAGGTTTCCTGGCGCAGCGTCGTTCGGGAGCAGTGCCCTTTGTGATCTGACGCAGGCTGGCCAGAGGATTTATCATCTGAGCGGGGTTTGCGTCGCGTTGAGGGGAAAAAACGCGGGCCTCCCGGTGTCTCGGCCTCTTCCTCAGGGCCAGCCTGTCATCCCGGGCCGTTCTCTTGACGGCCTCGGGCCCCGGAGCCGGCCTCCACCGGGGCCCGCGTGACGAGGGCCAGCGCTGACGGGGTGCAGCCGATGCCCCCTGGCCGAGCAGGGTCTGGGAACCACGTGGAGCCGATTCCCCCTTCCAGCCATCCGCTGGCCCCCGCTTGGGGGCTCCTGCGCCTCTCGGGGACCAGGCGTGGCGAGAAGGCCTCCTCCCTTCCCCAGGTGCTTCACAAGAGGGCAAGGGCGCCGCGGCCTTCCACCGGCGAGCTTGTGCGCTGAGAGTCAGGGCGAGCCTGCAAAAAGGGAGGAGGACGAGAAGGAACGCTACGTCAACCACGTCCTTGCAGCCGAATCTTTTTTGTTGGCCATCACTCACCCTCTCCCTCTCCCTTTCTCTGTGTCTGTCTGTTTGTCAGCCTGTCAGCCTGTCTGCCTGCCTGCCTGCCTGCCTGCCGGCCTGCCGGCCGGCCGGCCGGCCTGCCGGCCTGCCGGCCTGCCGGCCTTTCGGCCTGCCTGTCTGTCCGTTTGTCTGTCTGCGTGCCTGCCTGTCCGTCCGTCCGTCCGTCTGCCGTGCCCCTCTCCCTCTCCCGCGGCACAGGGCAGGAGGCCCAGAGAACCCAGTGCTTGCAAGGAGGAAAGACTGGTCTACTCTGTGAGAACGGTTTTTTTGGAAGGCAGATCTGCCTTCAAAAAACCGTTCTTACAGAGCAGACCAGTCTTTCCTCTTTGAAGGCAGATCTGCCTTCAAAAAACCGTTCTTACAGAGTAGACCAGTCTTTCCTCCTTGCAGGTAGAGTCGGCCGCGCAGCGCCCCGTCGGCCTTCGCGGTGTGACGTCGGGGCGGTCGCCGTGCGCGTGCCCGAGGCCACGGCGGTCGAGGCCCCGGGGGCGCCCCGGCCTCCGGGGCCCAGCGCGCGCCCGCCGCCCCGCTGGGCCCGCCAGGATCGGGCTCGCGGACGCCCCCGCAGCACGTGTTCACGCGGGAGGCCGCGCCCGCCGCTCCGGGGGCAGCGACGGGGCGGGAGAGGCTCCGGAGGCTCCTCCTCCTCCTCCTCCTCCTCCTCCTCCTCCTCTCTTCCCTCCTCCTCCTCCTCCCTCCTCCTCCTCCTCCTCCTCCTCCTCCTCCTCCTCCTCCTCCTCTCCTCCCTCCCTCCTCCTCCTCCTCCTCCTCCTCCTCCTCCCTCCCCCCCCTCGCCCCCCCCCCCTTCCCCCGCAGCACGTGTTCACGCGGGAGGCCGTGCCCGCGGCTCCGGGGGCAGCGACGGGGCGGGAGAGGCTCCCGGGGGGGCACGCGTCGACCCCCCGTCGCCCATGGATCCTCGATGCGGGCTTGAGGATCCCACCCCATCGCCGATGCATCGGTTGTGCATCGCCGACTCCAGGGGGAGGCTTCACCCCTGTTCCAGTCGCCCCCCGTCCGTGCCCCTCACCGTCGCCCCCCGCGGAGGATCGGATGACGACCATGGAAGACGGAACGAACTTTCGAGGGTCCGCGCGTATTTCATGGATCTGCGCTGGCCCCCCTTGGCGCGCTCCGCGCGCTAGGGAGGAGGGTCCAGCGCAGATCCAAGAAGTACGCGCGGATCGTCGCCCGTCGAATGCTCATGTTTATGCTGCCTTCTGTTTCTCTAGATTTGTGGATGACGGTCAATGGAGAGGAAGCATGTTGCCAAATAGTTTCCAGATGTCTAAACCATGTGTAACATGTAAAAACCATGTTTAAAGCATGTTTAGAACATTATTCCGACATTTTAAACACGCTTTAGATTCAATGATAGGACTGTTCGGGTGTCCATTACCGTGGCATCCACAACTCTAGGCCACCATTTTCCGGCACCCACTGGCCAGGCCCATCCCGGGCACCAGGTCGGCGTATGCGCCGTGCTGGTCCGGGCAGGAGGGCGCATGCACGGATCTCGGCTTGGCCATGCTCGGTGTCGCTGTGCAGTCGTCGTTTTAGTAGGAGGAGGAGGAGGAGGAGGAGGAGGAGGAGGAGGAGGAGGAGGAGGAGGAGGAGGAGGAGGAGGACCAGTGCAAATCCAATATTCCCCAACGATGTTGCAGTAAATCCTCACTCCAAGTTTCCTTTCCATAGGTTCCTACAGGGGATCACTTTTACTGAGGGAAGGGCCCCGCTGGAAGGCAACCGCTTGAAAATTTTGAACCGCGCCAGAACACCGTTCCTGGGACTTCATCGCCGCGAATTAACGTTACCGTTGCGTCCTGGCGATCCTGAATCGTGCCAGAACATAGTTCCTGGGATTTCAACACCGCGAATCAACGTAACTGCTTTGCCCCGACAGTCCTACACCGTGCCCAAGCACCATGCCTAGGACGTCAGCCATCATATTCCTTGAAACTGTTATGAACTCTTCAGAGGCCAGGGGAAGAGCACGCGGGGGATTGGGAGGAGCATGATGAGGAGGACGATTAGGAGGATGAGGATCATGAGAAGGATGCGAAGGAGGGGGATGAGCAGGAGAGAAAGGGTGAGGACGAGGAGGAGGATGAGGAGGAAGAGCAGGAGGAGCAAGAGGAGGAGGAGGACGCCGTGGAGCAGGAGGGGGATGATGAGGAAGAGCATGCGGAGGAGGATGAGGAGGGGGAGTTGGGGCGGAAGGAGGTCAAGAAGGACAATGAGAGGTGGAGGACGATGAAGACGAGGCGGAGGAACAGGAGGAGGAGGAGGGTGAGGAGCAGGGGGCGGAGGGGATGCTTGTCAGGGTCTCTTCTGAGCGCTTTCGGAGCCTTTCTTGGGCCGTTTGGGGGGGCGTTTTGGGAGACTCTTGGGGGGCCTCTTGGGAGCCTCTTGGGGATCTCCAGGGGCTTCCTGGGGGCTTCTTGGGGGCGTCTTGGAGGCCTCTTGGGGCCTCCCGAGAACTTCTCGGGGCGAGGGCTCGAGATGTCTGTTCGTGTCCCCCGTCTGGGCACCCTCTGGGGACCTTCTTGGGTGCTTCTTGGCCTGTCTTGGAGGCGTCTCGGGCCGTCTTGTGGCCCTCTTGGGCCCTTGTGGGAACGTCTTGGAGGACTTTGGGCCGTCTTGGGGCGATCTGGGGTCCTTTCGGGCCGTCGTAGAGCGTCGGGAGCGGAAGAGGGTAAGGAGGACGCCAAAAGCATGGAAAAAGCGAAGAGAAATTGATGACTTGAGCCTCTGAGGGCCTTCTTGGGAGTGCTTCTGGAGGCCTCTGGGGGCGTTGTGCAGGCCTCATGGGCATTCACTTGAACAGATCGTTCGGCGAGGCGGAGCCTTCTTGGACCGTCTTGGGGGCCTCCTCGGGCACTCTTGGCCCGTCCTGGTGCTTTTGATGCTCCCAGGCCCCGGAGGAGGGAGACGTATCTGGGTGGCGACCCCTCCCTGGGACCCCCCCAGGGGGAGTCGTATCTTTCCCTCGCCCCCTTCCCGGGACCCCGCCCAGGACCCTTCCCGGGACCCCTCCCGTGACCCCCCCCCGATGGGGGGCTTCCCGTTGATTGAAGTAGGGCGGGAGAGGGATCAAAAGGAGGGAGGCTTCCCTTCGATTGCATTACGACGTTGCTAAATTTCGCTTTGGCTGGCGCGCTTGGGGAGGAGGGCCCAGGAGAAGGAGGGAGCGGCGATGGGCCCAGGGAAATAGGGGCATCAGGGAAACGAGCCGGCAGAGACGACGACTAACGAATGACGGAGGGGACGACTCGAACGGACAAACCCCTCACACACGCCGTTGCACCCTGCCGTTGCAGTGTATGGCTCTTTATCGCCGCTGTATCGCTACTAATTCTTGGGACCACACCAGGCAAGCAACTGTTCCTTGGCTGATTGTTGTGCTGGAAAAACATATCATGACAAGGACTTTGCTGGGGAAACAGAACAGGGAGGAGAAGAAGGAGGAGGAGGGAGAGGGAGGGGGAGGGGGATGGGAAGTGGAGGGGGAACGGGGGAGGAGGATGATGAGTTGGCGGGGTGGGGTGGAATGGAGGAGGTGGTCAGGAAGGCAGGAAGGGCGGAAGGAAGGACGGCGGACGCCAGCGCCGCCGCCGCTGTCACTGCCGCCGCCGCCGTCGTCGCCGTTTCCGCCGTTGTCGTCGCCGCTGTCGCCGTCGCCGTCGCCAACCCATCCCGAGGTTGGCATGGGCGAGCAGATGTGGCCAGGCGACGAGCTCATGCGGCAGACCCGCAGGGCCGGCGCGCGGGAGCTGCCGAGCACGCAGGAGGCGCCTTCAGCGGGGCGGGGGGGCGGTGCAGCGAGGGTCCTGGGCGAGGAGCTGGACGGGAAGGGGTGGAGGACTGGGGGGGGCAAGCGCTCTAGGAAAATGTTATTGAAAAACGAGTAGTAGTGGTGGTGGTGGTAGTAGTAGTAGTAGTAGTAGTAGTAGTAGTAGTAGTAGTAGTAGTAGTAGCGTAGTAGTAGTAGTAGTAGTAGTAGTAGTAGTAGTAGTAGTAGTAGTAGTAGTAGTAGTAGTAGTAGTAGTAGTAGTAGTAGTAGTAGTAGTAGTAGTAGTAGTAGTAGTAGTAGTAGTAGTAGTAGTAGTAGTAGTAGTAGTAGTAGTAGTAGTAGTAAAGTAGTAGTAGTAGTAGTAGTAGTAGT